AGAAAAAAACTCATATGGCCTTTCAACGTCCACCTTATTCAGTAAAACTCATATGGCCCTCGTTTTCCCATTTTCACATGCCTAGCAAGATAGCTAATTCTATAGAGAAACTTTTCAGCGATTGCTTTTGTAGTGAAGCAAAGTTCAATAGCATTGCCCATTTGGATAATTAGCCAAGACCAAGAATCCAATCCCCCTTGGATTATGATGGGGTGGGCATCAGTAACATCGACAAAGGAATTTTTTTTCTTGCTCAACAAATTTGGATACTTTACCCTTGAAAAAGATTGTATATACCACCTTGGAAATAGGAGAGTGATAAGGATCACGGTGTTCCAAATGTTCCAACTGAACCTATTACACGATTCAAGCCCAAGATGATTCAACAAGCATTCATTCTTCATCTACAAAATTGTATAGGCTCGGTTCAACCATTATTTCATGTGTTACCAGTTGATTCGATTGAGGAAGGACAATTTGGAGCTTCGGAAGTGCATATTTGCATGGTTGAAGTAGCGGATGAAGTTGTTATAAATTGCACTTGATTGATAAGTTGTTAGAAAACTTTATTTATTATTTTTAATTTCATAATTTCTTGTAGTGGGCAAAAGGGTGGGGGAAGTTACTTAATCAAAATGACTCTTTTTTTGTGGAGATTTAAAAGGGAGTGGGAGTAAATTATGGCTACTAACTTCTTTAGTGGGCATTTGAAGAGTTGAAAGTTACTTTTGTGGAGAGACTATAAATACCTACAAATTACTATGTAAAAGAAAGATTTTGATGAATGAAATTTAGCTCTCAAGTCAAGACTTTCACCCTTAGAAATTTGAGCATCATTTTTGTCATTTCTAAGTTTCAAGCAATTCTTGTGGTAGATTGCATTTGAGTCATTCAATAAAATCTTGATCAAGTTCGATTATGGAGTGACACAATTTAGAACAAGGTTTCAAATCTTGCTTCTAAACCTTTGATCTTAAGAGGTACTCTAATTCTAGCCTTATCTCTTGATTGATCCGAATTTTGTATAAGGAGATGTTAATTTCTTTGATTCAAGCTTTTGTTGGAGCCCAGGGTTCTTGGATTGTAAAAAAAAAAAATGAGGAAGAAAGAAGAAAAGCATCAAACTCCTTTCTTGTTTCCTTACAATTAAAAAAAGAAAATGACCCAAATGGCCAAATGGGAAAATGGGAAAAGTTTGTAAAGGTTTTGAATAATGCCTCTGCTTCTTAATTTACTCTGTCACAGGCTTTCTTTCTTTCTTATTCTGACCAGAAGAGGACGACTGAGCTCTCATGACTTCTCTGCAAATCTCGTTTTCAAAATCCACAAAAATAAATTCATTAAAAAACCCTTCCCTTTCTCCTCCTCCTCCTCCTCTATTCTCTCTCAATAAAATAAAGCTCCTTAACCATTCTCTCTCTCTCTCTCTGCTGAGTGAGAATGCCATCCACTCCCATTTTCAGTCCTGCAACCCAAATCCTCAGTCCAATGATTCAAGCTTTTGTTGAAGCAAGAACTCTTGAATCAAAGAAATTAACACTTCCTTATACAAAATTCAGATCAATAAGAGATAAGGCTAGAATTAGATTACCTCTTAAGATCAAAGATCTAGAAACAAGATTTGGAACCTTGTTTTAAATTGAGTCATTCCACAAACGAACTTGATCAAGATTTGATTGAATGGCTCACATGCAATCTACCACAAGAATTGCTTGAAACATAGAAAGGGCAAAAATGATGCTCAAATTTCTAAGGGTGAAAGTCTCAACTTGAGAGCTAAATTTCATTCATAAAAAATCTGCCTTTTACATAGTCATTTGTGGGTATTTATTGTCTCTCCACAAAAGAAAACTTCAACTCTTCAAATGCCCATGAAAGAAGTTAGTAGTCATAATTTACTCCCACTCCCTTTTGAATCTCCACAAAAAAAAAGAGTCACTTTGACAAGTAACTTCCCCCACCCTTTTGTCCGCTACAAGAAATTATGAAATTAAAAATAGTAAATAAAGTTTTCTAACTTATCAATCAAGTGCAATTTATAGTAACTTCATCTGCTACTTCAACCGTGCAAATATTCACTTCCGAAGCTCCAAATTGTCCTTCCTCAATCGAATCAACTTGTAACACATGAAATAATGGTTGAATCGAACCTATCCAACTTCGTGATCAAGAATGAATGTTTGTTGAATCTTCTTGGCCTTGGAACGTGTAATAGGTCCAGTTGGAACATTTGGAACACAGTGATCCTTATCAAGAAGGCAACAAATTTCAATTGTATATGGATCCTAAGCTTTGTCTTGAACCCTCTCTTCTCAGTTTTTTCCTTTTTACTCTCGTACATTTCTAAAAAAACATCTAGTCTGCAGCGTGTCTTGGTTTGGTTCTCAAGCTGAAACAATTTCTTACGACTTTCAATTTCATAGGCCCACATCCTTGATCTAGAAATTGAGAAATTAGCTTCTCTTTATTTCTCTTCTTGCAAGTCTTTTCTTCTCCACTTAGTCTCCTTGTTTTACCCCCTCCTTGTCTCATTCTTTCTTCTCCTCCTTGTCTCATTCTTTCTTCTCCTCCTTGTGGAAACTCAAAATCCCAAAAAAAATATGGTTTTTCACTTGGTTAGTTGCATTGGGAAAGGGTTAATAAACATTGATGTCTTGTTGATAGACTCCTCTCATATTTTACGCCTTTTTTTTTTATCTTTTTTTGACTGAAACAGTTTTAGGACCAAATTGATGCCTTCTTTTTTAGTATGATTACAAGGATCTAAATCATTCTCTAAATTCATTTGTTGGTATACCTTTTTTACACCCAATATGGAAGTGTCTTTGGAAGGGTTTCAATTTGGCCTAAGCAAATAGGCTAATCATTTTGGAGGCACAAAAGGAGGCTGTCTTTCAGCTCCATTTTAAAGAAATGGGTCATGATCTGTAGCGGTCTAATTCCTTTGCAATTTTATGGTTCGTCTGACTAGGATGGTATGGGAGAATGTTTTTGGGGAGAGGTAGTTCATGGGAGGACATACAAAATTTGGAAGGACCTAAAGAATTCACAGCTATCCTTTTTTGAGATTGTTGTTCTCCCCATTTTGAGTGAGCCCTTCTTTTATGTGGGTTTTCTATTTTACTTTGTCTTTTTCATCCTCCTAACAAAACCCTAATGAAGAAGAGTAACTACAACAGAATATTATACCACAAGCAAAAACTTCATTATAAAAATACAACTTTATGATAATAGTGACAGTCCTTGAGCCGCCCAGAACGTGCTTTCCCTAATGCCACCAAAATTCCTTGATAGGAATTACTTCACAGGGGTTTTCTTGCAAGTACATCGTTTATGGTGTTTAGTTTCTTGGGGACTCGAACTCCCACTGTTTTTTTCATTTTTTGCAGCGTCTGTTCCATCAATTACCTCAATAAAGACGTTTTCGATCGAAGTAGTTAATAGATAAAAATTAGCTCCAATGATCAAACTGGAACATTTTGTATAAAACTCAAACATGCAGCGGGATAACATAGTACATAGATTCCCTGCTCTCTCTCTCTCTCCACTTCCCTACCTCCCGCCCCTCCCAGCTATAGACTCGCAAAATGAATCAATGTATAGATAGCAATACGTACGTATATAGAACAATACAGTGGCTAAGAAGCCTACACAATTTACCTGCATTACCGGAACGGCCTCCGTAGACGACGAGTCCATATCTTCACTTATTCGATTCACCTTCCAACAGAGCAAGAAAACTACCACAAAGCAAAAGAAAAAGAAGGAGAAGCATCAAAACGAGTAATCCGATCAAGACAACACACAAAACCAATAGAGTTTCCCGAAACGAAACTACACATATCAAATCAACTAAACCTCGCGGGTATTAGAATACTTGAAAACCCTTTTGGGAGTTGGAATCAAAGATTGGCATCAAGAATAGTGAAAATAACGATCGAGTAAAGATGGAATAAGATGAATTACGCGGCGCATACCAGGAAATCGATTCAGAGAGTTGCTGGAAAATGGGAATCCGAAGCGAAGATGGAGGAAAGCACTGAAATTGCAGAGGGAGCCTTTCCTTCTTCTTTTGATATGCGGAGCCGAAAGCCGCGGTGTTTTCTCCTCCGTATTATAAATTTACACACAAAATATATATATACACACACACATATACATATACATATACATACATATATATATATATATATATATAGATATCTAATTTTTAAAAATTAAAATTATATATATATAAATAAATGAATAAAAGAATCTCTAAAACTTTTTAATATAAATTCTTTTTTTTTTTTAAGTGTTTAATTAGGTAATTATCGTTTATATTACCGTTGAAAGTTCAAAGGTTCATATCTCATATGGAATGTATCGAATAAAAAAATTACTTTTTAATACCAAATTAAAATTTTATTGACTAAAAAATTATTAATTAAACTTTTTAATCAATAAAGTTTCGTTAGTACTCGTAAATATAATTGTAATGTGCAATTTGATCATTCACGAGTTATTCGCAATTACAATTATGTCAAAAGACAATCTTACCCTTATAATTACGTATCAACCTTACATCTCATTAATTTTTTTTATGAACTATTTGTTTAAGATTCGATCATGAGCTGCATCCTTCTCGGGTCAATGAGAGGGAAGGATCGTATGGACTAATGTATCTGTTCTATACGAGAATAAGTAAATTTCATCTATGGAACTTACTATTCGAGTTTAGGAAGAAAATAAAATAAATAATTAAATGTTCTCATGTAATCTCCCCGAAAATCGAGGGATTTCTGCGATACATTTATTGCTTAATAGAAACATTCTTATTTCTTAGTTTTATATTTTTATGTCCAACCTTTTACATCCCTTGAAAACGATTTTCTCTCCAAACTTTTTTCTCGGAACATTAGGGTTGATATTTCGAAAAAAAATATTCGAGTGGAAGTAAGATATAGACGTCGGGATCGCCGTGCTTGTGTCGAAAACGCTGCGTGACCGGCGGAACTCAGCTTCGCGTGTACGTCGGCTCGGCTCCATCAATTCCCGGGACTCGGCTTGATGGCTTAGTTGGTCGGCTCGGTATCGCTATAATATATTGATTCCTAGGTTTTCGACCCTTCTGAAGTCGTTTCTGCCCTTAGTTTTACCATCTAAGAGCAGTATGGTTCCTAACAATCAAAGACAGATTGTGTTGGGAGTTTATTTTGATAAATAGCATAGATTTAGCTAAGGTATGTTATGAAAGGTTGCTAAGTTTTTATATGGTTATTATAAGACGTATTTAATCGTTGGAATTAGCTTGTTGTGGGTAACTTCAGCCAAGATCATTAAGGTAAGTGACCTTATTAGTGAAGTTAGCTTATTACGTGTTGTATGATGGTGCGTGTCATGTGGCCCCTGCATGTACCATATTTATTGTGATGACTATATGATGTACGGATTATGTGACTGTTTACGCTATAAAAGCTATGGATTATGTTGACTGTTATTGTTTACACTATGAAAAGTTGTGGATAATGTTGACGGTTGATTGTTTATGCTATGAAAAATGGTTGATATGCTAGTATTATATGTCATGAAAAATGTTGATCGATGTTATGGATACACATAGTATTATCAAGTCGTCATGAGATGCTTATGCAACTAAAATGTATTTTCATGTTATGTAATATGTCATGTAACGTAAGTCATGTGAGATGCCACGTAATGTAAGAAACGTATATGCGATGTTAGCAATGCTTGTGTAATGTCATGTTAGATATGTTAAGGGACCTCATGCATTTATGTATGTCACTTGCATCGGGACAATTCCCTTTTATGTTACGGAGGAATGAAATATCATATTTATGTTCGTCATGATATCATGCGGACTCTTTTCTATTTTATGGTGTCCAGCGACGTGTAACACGTTGTGCCCGACCAAGCCAGGCCCAGGGGATATTTATACGAGCCTGTCTGGTAGGTCCATGTACGCGTACATGGGCCATGTGTAAGGGAGTACCACACATCCAACCCTACCCAGAATAGAAAAGCACCTAAGGCTACTTTAAAGTTAATGAAAAGTTAGGTCCCGTTCATATGTTGCATGTGTTTGAATTCCTAACCCCAACAGTGGGGTGACTTACTAAATATTTCATAAAATACTGAAACTACGTGTTACCACCTACATTTTTCAGGTAAAGGCAAGGGGCCAATGTACAGTTGATGGCGGACCATGGACGTTAGAGAGGGGATATTTTTAGGAGTTGACGTTCTTTACTGTTTTAAGTTAAAGCTTTGAACATTATTTTATTTAGATTTGTTTTGAATTCAGTTCCGAAATGTTTTATTTTGAGAGATAAGTTTGTTTTGAATTTTTTTTTTACCTTTATTAAAGATTTTGTTGTCTTTTTTTAACGTTATTTATGATGAGCTTATGCAAGTTATATATACATGGGTGACGTCACTTATGTTAAGAAAATTAAGAGCGTTGTCCCTAATTTTCTAGCCCTAATTAGTGACGTCCATACATATTTCATTACGCGGAAGCTCATACACAACAAACTCTTTCCGAAAGATTCATAAATTCAACAATATTCAATGTTCTAACTTAAAACAGTCAAATAAACGTGAACTTCTACAAATATTCCCTCTCCAACTTCGATAGTGTCAGCGGACACCCTCGAAAATACAAACAAGTTTGGAGAGCAAAAGTTGTTTTTAAAAAGGATCATCCAACATAAACAAAGTTTTCTATTATTTCATTTAAATAAAAATGTGATCTTTTGCTTGCTTTTAAAAAGGATACCTATATAAAGTTTGACTCGTTTCTATTAAAACGTATGAGTTTGCGACGTGCATATGTTCGTTCTCCCGCTTTAAAATGCGTCATCATGCATATGATAATAAACCCAGATCAGTCTAGGGTTTTAAGAAAGTCGGGACATTACAGTGTACAACATAGATAACAACAATGTATGGGTTTGCGACGTGCATATTTTCATTCTTCCGCTTTAAAATGACATGATCATTACATATGATACTAAACCCAGATCCAGAACGGTCAAGGGTTTTAGAAAGTCAGATCGTTATAGCATACAACACAAATAACAACATTATCTAATAAACCCAGATCGATCTAGGGGTTTAGAAAGTCGAATCGTTACAGTGTACAACAAGAATAACAACAATGTATGAGTTTGCAACATGCATATTTTCATTCTTCCACTTTAAAACAACATAATCATGCATATGATAATAAACCCAGATCAGTCTAGGAGTTTAGAAAGTCAGGACGTTACATTGTACAACATAGATAACAACAATGTATGGGTTTGTGACGTGCATATTTTCATTCTTCCGCTTTAAAATGACATAATCATTACATATGATACTAAACCCAGATCTAGAACGATCAAGGGTTTTAGAAAGTTAGATCGTTATAGCATACAACACAAATAACAACATTATCTAATAAACCCAGATCGATCTAGGGTTTTAGAAAGTCGAATCGTTACCGTGTATAACAAGAATAACAACAATGTATGAGTTTGCAACATGCATATTTTCGTTCTTCCACTTTAAGTAAAAATGACATAATGATGCATATCATAATAAACCCAAATCGATTTAAGATTTTAAAAAGTCGAATCGTTACCGTGCACAACACAGATAACACATTATCTAATTCGATGGATCGATCAATTTCCAATTGTTTAGATCTTGAGAGTGTCAAGTGGTACACTACCTTTTTGATAGCATTCATAGTTGATAGCTCCATAGTTCTTGATGCTCTTGTATTTCTTAGGCCTTTCTTCATCCACCAACCCATCCACTGCCCCAATCTCCCTCTCCACCTCAGGAATGTGAAACAAAGCCACTGAAATTCTCATCTTTTCTGAGTTTGTCACTGCCCTATGCAATGGGCTCTTCAATATTCCATTGCTCATGATCTTCATGTTCATACCCATCAAATAAAATCAATCTTAGTAGGTTCGATTTCTGATTTTTGGTTCTAAACGTGTACACGAGTTGGGTTGAGAGAAATTTGGACCCATCTAAAATTTCGAGTTCAATAACCACACAACTGTTTCACAATCCAACCAAACTCAACCTTCTATTTTCGAGTTGGGTTGAGAGAAAATTCTGGACCAGCCCATAATTTCAGGTTGATTGTGTTGATAATACAAGTAACGTCTCACAATCAAATTCAACCCAACTCTCTCTTTCGATTGGTTTGAGTAAAAACTTTATACTAACCCAAAATTTCAAGTTGGTTAGACTGTTAACACAAGTAATCCGAAATTATTTTATAACCTAACCCTCTATTTTCGAATTAGGTTGAGTTGTCAAGTAGTTAAGAAAAAATAAATTTTAAAAAAAATTATATTTAAGAAATTTTAAACATAATTTTTTTTTTACTTCTAAATTTTAAATTTCAATTTTTTCATAATTCTTGTAGGATAATGTTAATTTTTAATATACTCAACATTATTTTTAAAACTCGTTTTAGAAATATTTAATTTTAATTATTATTATTATTATTTTAATTTAATAACAATAGAGACAAGAGATATGAATTTCTGACCTCTCATATTATTATTTTAATTTAAAACTCGTTTTATAACATATTAATTTTTTTTTTAAAAAAAAAACCAATTATAAATAAAGGGATGTTTAACCCTAAATTTTTATATTTGTATTCTATTTAGGGAAAATATTGCTTAAATACTTTATTTTTTTAAAAAAATAAAAACTAAAAACAAATAATTATAAAACAACGTTAACATATTTAACCTAAATTAAAAGTTTAAGGATTTATTAAGCACCTTTAAAATTTTAATAAATATTTTTTAGATAAAAATTTAAAATTTTAGGGACTAAATTTATAATTTAACTAAAAGGGATCGAGAATGAGAGAGTTTTTACCTGCATTTGGTCACCGACATTGACGACGAGAGCATGAGGAAGCACGGGAACAGTTATCCATTTCTCATCAATAAGAACTTGAAGACCTTCCATTTGTTTGTCTTGCAACAGAACTGTGAGGGCTGATCCATCAGTATGAGCCTTTACTCCAAGAACCAAATTTGGTCTCGAACATGTCGGGTAGAAATTCACCCTCACGTTCATTAGCGATCGATCCCCGAGCTGGCTCGAGAAGCTATCTTCGTCGATGTTCAATGACTTGGCTATTGCCTTATACATAACTTCCATCATGAGCTTCACATTATCGACGTATTCGTTTAGGGTTTCTCTGCAAAAAGTAACGAAAATTCAAACACATAACATGTTAGGAATCATGAACTCCTGCAATAGTATGATGTTGTCCACTTTGAGCCTAACATAAGCTCTGGTGATTTTCCTTTTGGTTTCCCGAAAAGGCCTCGTACTTATAGAGATATATTCCTTACTTATTCCTCCTCTCGAACAAAGTACACCATAGAGCCTCCTCTGAGGCCTATGGAGCCTTAAAACAACCTACCATTAATCGAGACTCGATTACTTTTTTGAAGCCCGCAAACAAAGTAGATCATTTATTCGTCACTTGAGGATTCTATTAATATGACTAAATTAAGGGCATGACTCTGATACCATGTTAAGAACTACAAACCCGAACCCCCTATAATGGCATGATATTATCGGAAAAGGTCTCTGTACCAATGGAGATATATTCCTTACTTATAGACTCATGATCAACCTCTCCCCTCGAACAAAGTATACCATATATAGAGCCTCCCCTAAGGCCTATGGAGCCCTCGAACAGTCTCCTTTTAAATTAAGCTCGACTCCTTCTTTGGAGCTCTCGAACAAAGTACACCTTTTGTTCGACACTTGAGTCACTTTTGACTATACCTTAGAGTCACACAATTTTTTTGTTCGACACATGAGGACTCTATTAACATGGCTAATATAAGGGCATGACTCTGGTACCATGTTAGGAACCACAAACCCACTCATAGAGATGTATTTCTTACTTATAAACCCATAATCAACCCCTTAATTAGCCGACACGGGACTTCTTTTTAAACAATCTTCAACATAACATACTATATAGCTTCAAATTAATGGAATGTTACCTAAAAGCTTTTGGAGTTTGAGGCCAAAGGTTCAGGTTTCTCGAGTCGTCCGGGAAGACACAAAGGAAGAGACGATAATTCCAATCAAGAACTTGCTTTTCTGAAACCACGATATCATTTCCATACCCTTCGAACTTATTATTCTCGTCAGATGGTGAATACTTCAGCTTTTCTTGCTCGGGCAATTCGAAGAACTCTTTGGCAAAGTCACGTAGTTTGTTTAGAAGCTCGATTGAAACTCCGTGTCCTATTGCCTAAACAAATATAAATTCATCCACTCATTATAAAAATAAAAAATCAAAAACTAACCTAAAATCGTTAATTTAAGAACTATAAAATTATCGAAATAAATATTTATCAAATAGTAAAAAATGGAAAATTAAGGGAAAAAAATATTTATTTATTTATTTATTTATTTTTATTTTTATGAAATAAAAACCTGGAAGCATCCCTCCTTGGAAAGAGCAGATCTCAGTTTTCCCAATTCAGAGTCCAAAACCTCAGGCTCCGGCGACGAAGACGGCAGAAACACACCGACGTCGATGATCGGAATCTCGCCGGCGCCACCAACCGCAGAGTCTTCGACGACGTAGGCTCGCGGTGGTTCATCGCCGTCGACGGACATTTGCAGAACATTTTTGGTCGAATCGGAAGGAGACATCGACATTTTTTCTTTTCTTCCGCAAAGACGACGATGATCGGAAGGGCTAGGGTTCGCTCTTCGCCGGAATCAAGGTTTTCTCCGGTCTATTATGAACTTACGGTGGAGCGTATTTATAGCGATTAGTGATGAAGATTTGAAAGAAATTGAGAAACAAACACTGCAACGATCCATCCAAGAACAGCTTCAGCGGAATCGGAGTCAATGGTGAGTACGAATATTCCCCCAATAATTAGTTTAGTTTAATCTTTTTTTTTAATTAATTTATAATTATTTATAATAGAGGACGAGGACAAAAGACTAAGCATATGAATACAAAATTATGATTTAAAAATTGTTTGAAATTTTTCGATAATTCAATCATAAAAATTTTTTAAAAAATTAATGGTTGGTTTAGTCAATATTTTACTTAATATCACCTTAATTTTTAGATATATTGATCTAAGATGATGAGCTTGATTTGCCTCATGTTGTCTTACATTTTGTAATTCAGTTTTCGACGTGGATTTCCAATTGAAATATTATCTCTAAGTTTTGGGCGGCCCATCTAGTGAAGACATTTATCACTGTTGGAAGCCCCTGCAGTTGTTCGGCAGCGTACTCTCTGTCCGCGTATCTCACACTTTCAAAGCGGATTTTGGCTTTCATCTTTTATTTGCCTTTCTTGCATTTTTCTTGTGAGATATAGGTTGGCTTCGTGCATCTCGATGTTTGTCAGGGTGCTTCTGAGGTATGCCCTTCCATGAGCCCTGGTGGTATAACAGAAAGTTCATACTTTTGTAATGAAAGGATCTTCTTCTTCCATTGCTATTTGATGAGAAGCTTTATATAGAAGATTTAATATCTAACGGTGGAATCAACAAGCTAAAACTATTTCAAACCATTTCTATTCCTCTTAAATATCGATGATTTTTCTTATTAACGACGTCACGACCGATTAGCTCACGAAAAGAGATTGAGTTGTTGTTTTGTTTCCATTTTATTTTATTATTGAAAAGTTTGATTTATTTTGTTTTTCAGTACCTATCACATAATGATGTCATAATTGTTTTATCTTTCCAACTCCATATTTCTCTAAATAACTAAAATAAATTTTCAAATCATAAAGTGATATTAAAAAATTAAATTCGAACTATACAGACTAATTGGGTTGGAAAATCTTTTGGACCATCCGTGATTCGAATAGTCCAAATAGAGTTTACAACCCAAATCTATATTTTCGGGTTAAGTTGTCAGGTTATCTTTTCTTATTATTATTATTTAAAAAATTCTACTTATAACTCAAGTATCAAATATTTATAAATCACGCCTTATTCATAATAATCTTAAAAGTAGTGCCGAATGGTTGGGTTGTAACTTGTAACCAATAGTCGAGTTGACCCAATCACAAAAATATCAACCTCCAAACTGACTCAAATTTATATATATATAACCTAACTCATCATTTATGATTTGGGTTAGATAGTCTAAATTGGCCAAATTCTCGAGTCATATAACCAAATTTGATCGACCAAAAGACCAAATAGGTAATTTAAACCGCTTAATTTAAAAAAAAAAAAAAAATTATATATATATATATATATATATATATATATATAACCCAACTCATCATTTATAATTTGGGTTAGATAGTCTAAGTTGGTCAAATTCTCGAGTCATATAACCAAATTTGATCGACGAAAAGACCAGCTTAAATTTTATTTTTTTTTAAAGAATAATTGGGCCAATTTGGTTATGAAACAATAGTAAATAAATACAAATGTTTCTCGAGAAGAAACAATTATGAAACGACACATTTAGAGTCACAACAATGAAAATTTTATTAAATAAAAAAAAAAATATGCATTTACAATTGTTTTTTTTTTAATTATGATTTTAGAAAATTAAAAAAAAAAAAAAAAAGAGTTGTTAATTCAGCCAAGATCTTCTGTCTGAATATGATGACGTGCTGCTTCCAGAATGGCAGTATGAGCTCTCAGATTCATCAAGCCCTTGATGAAGACTAAACTGCTCCTGTTTTAATATTTAAGATACATTATTATTATTATTATCCCTAAAATTCATTACTTTATAAATCTTTAATAAATCTTTAATGTTCGCACGAAACCTAACACATACATTATTATAAGAATTAGAGAAAGATAAATAGTTATATTTAATGTTCACATGAAATCTAATACATATATTAGAGAAACAGTTGTATTTAATGTTACTGGAAATCTAAATGATTTTGTAAAAATTTGAATTTAAAATTAATGTATTGAATGGATTAATAAGCTCTTGAATTTCCATTAATTAGTCATATAATTTTGAAAATTGGAAGGTGAGAGAAAGAGATATGAACACCATTAATGGCGAAGAAAAAGAGAAGCGAACTTACCTGAGAAAAAGAAGCCTGGCTCATACATGGCGAATCACAGATACTGTAGGGTTGAATTCCCATACTCTCTTCCGCCATGGCTCTCAATCGACTAAGCTCCGGGAGCACCACCTTCCCAAGGTCCGGCCGATCTCTCTTCCTCATCTCTGCACATTGAATCGAAAGCTTCGCAAACTTCAACGCTTCTTCAACCGGCCAATCCTTCACATCCGGATCAAGCATCTCCGCAAACTTCCCCTTCTCAATCGCTCTCTCCACGTTATGCGCTAGTCCGATTGGTGGTTTCGCCGTGATTATTTGCAAAAGCATCACACCAAGCGAGTAAACATCTGATTTAATCCCTAGCAATCCTGTTTGCTGATACTCTGGATCGATGTAGAAGAAAGTCCCTGCCGTCGCTGTCATTCGATACTGAGTCACCGAATTCGCTACCGATGGCGGCACAAGCCTCGCCAATCCTACGTCGCTGATTTTACTCACGTAGTTCCGATCTAGCAAAATGTTTCCTGGTTTCAGATCTCGATGCACGATCGGCTCTGGTCTGGTTTGATGCAAGAAAAGAAGTCCAGTCGCGATTTCCTCCGCGATTCGGAATCGTAACTGCCATGGAAGAACTGGATCCTCTGGTTTTCGGAAGAGACAGTCTTCTAAGCTTCCGTTCGCCATGAATTCGTAAACTAAACAACCGTTCTCAGGACACGCTCCAAGGAGGAGAACCATATTTGGATGTCGAATACAACTTAAAACCTCAACCTCTCGCTGAAATTGCGATCGGCCTTGAGCGGCGTCGGGGCGGAGGACCTTAATCGCTACCTGCGTGTGGTCGAGTTCTCCACGGTAGACTGGACCATAACCGCCTTCACCGATCTTCAAAGAAGCAGAGAAGCCATTCGTGGCGGTTTCGATTTCCTGGATTGAGTACCTTCTGTAACCGATATCGCCATGTCCGAATCCTTCAAGTGCTTTTTTGGTTTCCTCTGCTTCCATAACAGCAAGTTTCTCGACGTTTGCTCTTTTCCTCGCTTCATGAACTGCGCTTCTTTGTGCAACTTCGGCTGCCTGCAATGCCGCTTTGCATTTCAACTTCTCCTTCTCTGCTATTGCCAATGCTGCTCCTTCCGCCATTCTTGCCTCTTCGAGTCTGTGTTCTTCTTCCATTTTCCAGCGATGGAGCTCACTCGCCTGCCAAATCAATCGATTGAAATTCGATGGTTGAGTCATGATTATAGATCATGGAGAAAAGATTTGAGATCTTGGAAATGGTTGAGACCTTTTGCTTGGCGTTTAGGGCTTCTTTGCAGGCCGTACTGTACATGTCCATGGTTTGTTTGAGCTCCAATTTCAGCCTCCTCATCTCAGCCTCAACATCCTCCTTTTTTTATTTTCCACGTCATTTCAAACACAAATTATTTTTCGTAAATTAAAAAATATATATTATATTTCAATGAAATTTATAATATTAATAACTTAATCAAACCAAAATAGTAAAAATGCCAATAAATAAATAAATAAATAATAATAATAATAATAAATTCAATAAAAAATATAAAGAAAAAATATTTAAGATATGATTAGATAATAATATTAAATGGGTTAACCCTAACGTGACCTAAATTAAATGAGTCGGTTGGCTTGATAATGCATGTTGAATCAATTGATCTATACCTAAATAGTGTCTTAAACTTGCTTAGTTTAGTTTGGGGTTCGACCTTAACTTCATAGAGTCAAATTAGCTTAATCTATCCATTTATACCCAAAACGTGCTTTAGACTTGTTTAGTTTGGGCTTTGGTCATAACTTTTAATAGTCATAGTCAAATCGGCTGAATCTACCGATCTATACCCAAAGAGTGTCTTATACTTGCTTAGTTTGGGCTTCGACCTTAACTTTCTAGAGTCAAACGGGTTGAATGTACTGATTTATACTCAAACAGTGCTTTAAACTTGCTTAGTTTGGGCTTCCGCCTTCATTTTTTAGAGTCAAATCAATCTACCGATCTATGCCCAAACAGTGTCTTAGACTTGCTTAGGTTAGACTTCGGCCTTAACTTTCTATAGTCAAATAATCTCAGTTACTTTCTCCTCGTCCTTAAGCCGCTTCGACCCGTTACGTATGGCTATCAGCCTCACAGTTTTAAAATGTATCAAAACTTCTCTTAAAGTGAACAATATCTACTAACAGTGGGCTTGACCACCAAAACCGACACACTTAACTACAAACTTTTCACATCTAACCGACCTCAAATCGAACTATAAAACCATTACAATTGAAGCATATATGCGTGACTCACCTGGGCATGAGATTGGGAAGCCCAAGAGGTCTCACTTTCGGAGGCAGAAGACATTTCGTGAGAGTAAGGGTTAGAATAAGAAGAGTTATTATTACTATCAATGGACCTCATTCCTCCCATTCCCAACATAGGCGAAGGCGAGGCTGAACCCGGGCTCGAAGTTTCGAGCTCCGAGCCCGACCCGTTTGAAAGCCGATACGAGTCCCTGGTGCTGGAGTTCCACGCCGGCGAGTTCCCACGATCTAAGCTCTGCCTACCGCTGCTCATGAACGATATGTCGGAATCCGCCGTGGATGTGTCCTGTCCTTTGCCCATCAAAGCCCTCGACCCGGGCCGATTAAACGGCGACCTGCATACCTCACCCAACTCATTTTATTTCCATTTAAATCAATTTAAATAATTTCTTAAAATAAATGGAGAGAGTATTCCTTGAATATAAACCCACGATCATTCCCTAAATTAGTAGATGTGGGACTTTCATCATCCAACACCTCCTCTCGAACAAAGTATGCCTCCCCTTAATCGAGGCTTGACTCCTTTGGAGTCTTAGTCATTTTTTATTATGCCTTCGAGGAGGTTTGACTCCTTTTCTTTTAGAGTTCTTTGTTCGACATTTGAGAATTTACCAATCTATTGACACGACTAAGTTTAGGGCATGGCTCTGATACCAGGTTAGACGAACACAACTCTCCACAATGGTATGATATTGTCCACTTTGAGCATAAGCTCTCATGATTTTGCTTTGGGCTTCCCAAAAAGCCTCATTCCAATGGAGAGAGTATTCATCGATTATAAACTCATGATTATTCCCTAAATTAGCTTAGGTGAGACTTTCATCATCCAACAAATTAGAATTAATACCATTTTATTTCTGTTTAATGGTGACCGGAAGGGTAAAGATGTAAAATCACATACTTGATTTCAAAATCTTCGTGAATGGCACGGGAAGGTGGATTTGATGCTAAGCTGTCTTGAGTCTCTAAATCTGCAATCAAATCACCAAAGTATAAACTCTCGAGGATAAAATTGACTTTTCACGTTTAATAATTATGTTTTTGTTCGTGAATTTTCAAAAGTTTCAATAAGACTTACGTTTGGAGTGTTGGGAGCGCAGGATGGTCGGGTGCTCGACCGATGCCTTGGAGGCGTTGGTGAGCTGATGCAACAATTGAGGGCGTGAAGCGGGTTGTGGCTGGCTGTGCGACGTAGAAATGGGTTTTGCAGGTGCTGGAGATGTAGCTTGTCGCATTGAAGAGACCTTGCCTTTGTTCCCAATAGTGTAAACTGTGCAGAAGTCTGGTGCTCCTTTCGACACGATACTAGGGATGTCCGACTTGAATCGTCTACACGAACGACAACAACAAGAACAAGTGAAATTCTATACCAACAATTCGAACCGGGACAAACTCGTTTCAACACAATATCTAGATTTAGCACTTGATGACTCCCGTATTCCCCGCATGGTCACGTTACCATTCCCATAGACCAATAGAGGTCTTTTGAGCATGTTTTGTTATCACTCACATGCATTTTAAGCAATTACTTAGAATGTCACTCAACATAGAATTGCAGTAAAACACACTTAATAGTGACTTTCAATTCTTTCTTAGTTATCCTATCTTTAGAATGGTTCTCATTCAGATGTAGTCTCGGTTCATTCATATGTCATTCCTGATCATGAGATCTCACATCGGTTGAAGAGGAGAACGAATTATTCTTTATAAGAGTGTGGAAACTTTTCTTCAACCGACGCGTTTTAAAAACTTTAAGGGAAAACCCAAATGAGAAAGTTCAAAAAAGACAATATTTACTAGCGTTGGGGTTGGGCCGTTACAACTCCTCTATTTATCACATTGAAAACCCTTCTTTTCTCTAAACTTAAATTACACGAGGACTAAAAGATTCAACCTAAGTTCTTAGATGACTAACGTGTTCGTAACATATCAATACCTAACTCGATTGAACTAATTAGTAGTAAAAATACCAAAAAAACAGGGGAACTTACTTGACAATGCCAGTTCTTGAAGGAGCACCAAGAACTAAAACGTCAATAGCATTTTTGTTGGCATAATTGATTAATGCTTTTGAAATATCTCCCTCCTCCAACGTCACTTCATTGCATGGTATCTGTTCAAATGCATTGTTTATATTTCTTTACTATAAATAAATTATGATAATAAATAATCATGCTTCACAAATTCATAATTAATTTACTATTAATTATGTAATAAACAAGAGCTAGAGAGAGAGAGAAACTAACATTGCTTCGCGTGCAGAAGCAACGAAAGGGGAGGAAGAACTGATGGGCTTGATTATCAACCTGCTGTTTATGAGCAACGGCGTCATCCAAATCGGAACAGGCACCGACGTTCGTCGCTACAAATCGATTCAAAAACAGATATCAATTCAACTGCAAAAGAAAAAATCGCATCGCAGAAATCGAAGACGCGCAACGAATCAAACAGGTTAGGGTTTCAAAATTTTCGCGGTTTTTCATTCTTACTCGAATGCGACGGTTTGTGTTTGACGTGAAGCAGAGTAAGAACTTGGCCTCTGCTAAGAAGCCGTTCAATCGTCCATTTCAAAGCCTGTTGACTGAATTTGTCTTTATCGATCGCTACCGCTACGGATTCATCTTTCTTGTGAGCTCCGCCTCTGGCCATTTTCTATGAACTCTGTTTTTTTCTTTTCTTTTCTTTTCTTCTCGGAATCTGTGGCGAAAGGATGGAAGGAGATTTTGTTTTTGTGGATTGATCGATGTTTTTGGATTCAACCGCGTCGCTATATGTTCTTTGCGAGTCATCTATTTTTGTGTGGTTTCTGTTGAAGGTTGAATCGGAAGAATTTGTTTGCACAGGTTGTATGATTTTTTGAAGTCGATAGGGTTTTGTTTCGCTGGATTTGTTGTTCCATGTTCTTCTTTCTATTGTTCTTTGTTCTAAAATTAGTTTAGATTTATTCATAACTTTAAAACCAATTGTTTACGAATAAATTAATTATGCTAAATTGAGAATTAAATTTAATATTGGCATTTTAAATTTTAAAAGTTTTAATAATATTTTTAACTTAAAAAAATCTAAAAATACTATAATACTTTAATTTTTAAATTAATTAAAAAAATATCGTTAAGTTCCATTAATATTCTAAAAAATATTAAAAATAAATTTATTTATTTTCAATTTAAAAAAATACATTTATTGTTACTGGTTAAAATAGATAATTTATTTTTTAAGATAAATTTAAAGGTTTTTTTTTAGTTTAAATGTAATTTTTTTTTTTTTTTTTTTTTTTT